TTGATGTTTATGATTGTTCTTTTAAGTTCTGTGTCCTGGGGTTCATTTCATTGGCAAACATTTCTAAAGGACTATTATGTTTCACAGAAAAGATACTGGCTTGATCATTTATATTGCTTGTACTTTTGCAATGAGATATGGGCATGTCAACATCTTTTTGTTAGTTCTAGGTCTGATATGGACAGATCAGGTTGGGGCAGAAGAGAGAATGTATGGACAGGTTGAGCCTAGAGGTTGGAAATATCTTACATGGCATGAAGTCTGGTGGATGGAGTGAATGAACTAAGATCACATATAAAATGTGACTTTAGGTCCAAGCCTGGAGTGCGGGTTATATCTGGCTGGGTGGAAATTTGTATGTGACATTGGAGGAGACTATGGATTGGAGGGATAAGTAGGAAAGGTCCTGACAGATGCCTAGAGGTTGATTGTACCGCAGGTAGGGATAGACTATACCAGGGCACCAAATGTGGGTACCAGGCTAGATCTGGTGGGTTGGAGAGGATGTGTGGTTAGGGATGGTCAGGGGAACCCAACAGTCTAGACCCTGGAGAAGTATGTGGATGGTCTGATGGGGTGGAATGCTTTAATGTAGTGCATAATTTTAGTTTTTATTTTTAATTAACATGAAAAATAATAAATTTCTTTATGCCATTTTTGCAGGCTGGTTTCGTGTATCAACGTGATACATGTCAGAGGTCAGAGTCATCAAAGATGAAGAAGCCTCAGTTGAGAAAATGCCTCCGTGAGATTCAGCTGTAAGGTGTTTTTTCAATTAGTGATCAATGAGAGAGGGCCCAGCCCATGGTGAGTGATAACATCCATGGACTGGTGGTCCTGGATTCTATAAGAAAGCAGGCTGAATAAGCCATGTAAAACAAGCTAGTAAGTAGCACCCCTCCATGTCCTCTGCATCAGCTCCTGCCTCCAGGTTCCTGGGTTGCTTGCATTCCTGTCTAGACTTCCTCCAATGATCTGGAAGTGGAAGCAAAATAAACCCTTTCCTTCCCAATTTGCTTTTGATCGTGGTGTTTCATTGCAGCAATAAAACCTTAACTAAGACACCATGGTCATGCACACTTTTTTGGACTGACCCTCTTCCTTCTTTCCTCCCTCCATGACCTTTCATCATTAATATTTGCCTTTTCACTTTCAGTATGTTTAATTTTGATCAATCTTCCCTCATCCCTGAATCTTCACTTTAACCATCTCATGGTCCTCTTTCAAGATCCACAACCTATATTTGAACACATAGCCATACGTATATGGAAGGATGCTTCTTATTTATTTATTTATTTACATCCAAAACACTGCTTCCCTTCTCAGTCCCTCCCTCACAGAGTCCCTCCTTCCCTCTCTTCTCTCCTCCGAGAGGCTGGGCTCCCTGAGTATCCCCCTACCCTGAACATCAACTCTCTGCTAGGTTAGGCACATCACCTTCCACCAGACAAGGCAGCCATGGAGACTGAGCTGACTGTCTGATATATATGTGCTGGAGTCCTTGTTCCAGCCCATTTGCTCTTTGGTTGGTGACTCAGACTCTGAGAGCTCCCAGGGGTCCAGCTTAGTTGACTCTGTTGGTCTTCCTGTGGGGTTGCCATCACCTTCAGGACCTTCTTCTAAAGTAGCAGGTTTCCATCTGAGTTCTCTGAAAACTCTTTCTCCCTCTCCATATCTGTCCTCTACTCTGCCCTATATTTTCTAACCCAATTTAAACCTTTCTGTTCCATTATTCCCCCTTAATCTTTTTTTGTTTTTGTTTTGTTTTTTGTTTTTTGTTTTTTCAAGACAGGGTTTCTCTGTGTAGCCTTGGCTGTCCTGGAACTCACTCTGTAGACCAGGCTGGCCTCGAACTCAGAAATCCGCCTGCCTCTGCCCCCCTTAATCTTTTACAGCTGAGTTTCCTGCGTTGTCTCAAAAATTTCCAGAATTATCCATATTTGATGAGTTCATCGATTCCAGGGACTACTGACGTAGCTCCAGTGGTGCTCAGAACACTGACCAGTGATAATACCTGAAGGAAGCCAGTATGTAATGACCAAGTGTCTCATACTTTGGGATACTTTTCAAACTAGCAAATGTAAGATTTGTAGAGGTTTACTCAGAGTATCATTTGTCAAAATGGAGGCCTGAAAACATCATTTCAGGAAACCCACTTTCCAGGTGAATATTTGCATTATTGAATTGGAGATCTTCAATATCTACCACAAAGAGACTAGCCTCCAGTCTCGGATCTCCTCTGACTCAGATTTGGGGGCATGTTGCAGTTAGCAGGGGAAGAGGTGTGGGGGTAGATGGGACCATATTTTATTAATATTTGTATTAAATTTTAAAAATTAAAAAACATTTTCAAAAAAGGACTATTCAGAATTGCATTATCTATTTTGAATAATGTAATATTGAAATAAAAATCCCTGGTACAAAATTATTGAATCTGGCTTATAGTAAGCAGTCATTTCCATTATCTCTGATATGACAGTTGAGATTCATTATCTCAATTTCTTATATATCATCACTAGATATAGTCACTCAGCTGCTACATATTTTGAGATCTCCCTGACAAATTATAAGTTCATATTCTATGAACAGTAGATTCTCATTTACTACAAGGCCCTATAATGAGTAACCAGATTTTCTTCTTCACTGTTTCTATGAATGTGACATTTCCACATGTAAATGTCTTCCTATGGTTGTGTGTGTGTTGTGTGTATTTGACGGATTTTATTTAGATTAATATAGTCCAGAACAATCCATCTGTTTGCCACTGGCAGAAATCTATTATTTTTAATGTTAGAATGGTATTCTGGTATATATGTATAACAAATTTTCCTTGTTACTTACTGAGTCAAGCTACATGATGGTCGATTACATGTTTTGATTATTATGAATTAATATGATCTGGTGAATGAGCGCACATATATTTTGTGCATATTTTCTTTCAGTTCTTTTGGGTATATATCTATTGATTCGAGGTTACAGTCACATATAGCCCAGAAGTTGTTTTGAAGAACATTCTCATGAGAGGTAATGTGTATACAATAGTTATGGTGCTATTCCCTGCCAGGTGCAGTATGGAAATAATCATCTATTTATGCGTCTTCATTTACTATCGTCTGTTTTCCTGATGATGGTCTTTTCAACAAGAGTGGGGTAGCATCTTATTTGGAAATTTTATTTCTCTAGTGATTAGTGATGCTGAGCATTGTCTCACTGACAACTGTCATTTGCATGTCAGCCTACGAATAAATATGTCTAGGTTTTTGGCATTGTTTTAATTAGGTTCCTTTCTGTGTTTCTCTGCATTGTCTTATTTTCTACTATAATCGGGATGCTGCACATTTATTAGATATATGAATTACTTACTTTTGACTAGTTCCTGGTATTCTTCTTACTTTGTTCTCCCCTTTCTTGTGAAAGAGATTTTTAATTTGATTTATCCTTATTTGCTTGTTTTCGATATAAATGCACATTTTCCTTGGCTTATAGTAATAGAACTGTCGTTCTGAGCAACGCTGTAGAGATTTTGTACCGTGTTTCTTTCTTGTTTTATAGCTTGAGTTCTCACATTGAAGTCTTCAATCCATTTTATGTGTTGATTTTGTATAGAATATGAGACGGGCTGAAAACGAAACCTAAGATTTCATCCTGTCAGTGGCTGAGTTAAAGGCTAGATTGATTTGTTGGATCATAATATGTCTCTGATCACAATGAGAATAGTAATTGGAAAACAATTTGATCCTAATACTAGACCTGAGGTAGGTGGAGTTATTCTGTATCTAAATTATGAAGACCTTCAGTGAGTTTACAAAGGCTTCTTGAAGTCTTCGTACCTTCGAAAAAGGCTTATCTGTATGTCCATGTTTTTGGCATACATAGGCCCATAGAGTCACCCACTAACTACTTCTGAGGAAATCTACCTTTCTTTGGCTAACTAAATGGTAATGGTCACTTTTAAGTAAATGCCTTTCTTGTCCTGAGTTTTCTTAGGACCTTCCCAGATCCCCTGTACTTCAGCACACATAGAGGCCTCAACTTCTAACTGGTACATCAACATGAATCGTACTGTATTACTCGTAAAGACATGCTCTCTGTCTTTCCAAACATTGTCTTCACTTTTTGATTTATAGAAACTAACTTGGATATACTGTATGGAAATGAATATTAAGGTCATAGGGTGTTGAAACCCTTACCTGCAAATTTGGATCAGGTACGATTTAATAATATAGTTAATAGTTAATAGATATTTTTACCTTTAATGTTGTACCTCAGTGATGTAGAAAGGACTCAGATTCTATGTGTAGTTATTAGGCTAGGCATCCAAAACCCTGAGTATTCACTATATAAAAAGTAGCAGAATATCTTCTTCCCTTCACATTAGCACAGAGAATTACTCTCACGCTCTGCTCACTGACACTGGGAGCCTCCTCTGTATAAAGGTTTTTTCAGATTCATGTGAGAAACAAGTTAGTAGATTAGAGGTATAAAGCTATCAGTAGCTTGAGGAGATAACTAGCTTGAAGAGTGTAGCCAGAGCCTCTTTGTTGGTCCCAGCTTGGGGTGGGAATGGTGACCAGTGGATTCAGAAACACAAATACAATGATGATATACGGATTCAAGTGTGGCAGGTACCTTGTGGCTTCATACAAATATGAAGGAGGCGGCAGGGTGGTTGTGATAGTTTCATCTGAATGAGCCCTGACTGCATACACTAATTTATGTAGAAGTGGCTCCGCGTCCCTGCTCTTTACTTTTTCCACCTGAGTTAACTTCCTACTTGGAGTAAGATGGTCCTCAGTGGTACATTTCTTGATGAAAAATCAAGTGGAATCTCATTTGCTTAGTTCTTGGCCATATTGTTTTCTTAAATAGACAGGGGTGTTTTTCAATGCAGGTGCCCTGATAAAGCCACATTTTCTTAACGCAATGCAAATTTATAAATGACTCATTTTAGGACGACAAAGCTCTACACCTCAGGGGGTTTTGCTTTATTAAAGCAATGGTTACACATTGTTCACATTACTTCTGGCAAACCAGCGACGTTTTTGGCAACAGCTGCCTTTTCCTTTATAACAGGTGCTCATTGGAAGTAAAAACCATGGGCATTTGTGCACGTGACAGTTGTTTTTTCCTTGGAGACATTTTATTGTGTCAAGGCCAGCAACTGCAAGAAAAGAACATATAAACTTCAGATTTTTGGTACAGCTGCAGTGATGTTTAGCATGCTTGATGAAGGCACAAGAAAATGAATTTCAGTATTTAAAGAAAAAAAATTCCACAACTGACCATCTGAATGTCCAGTAAAATATGACCTGTCTTGAACTAATTTACCAGGGAGAGGGTCCTACAGCTCAATAGCCATGTAGATCTGTGGTTATTACACTAGAAAGAGCAAATGGAGGATACTTTCTTTTCTATTAATTTTGAGACAGGATCTCACTCTACAGGCCTCCCTGGCTTGGAATTCATTTTTTTAGGTCAGACTGGCTCTGAATCACAGAAATGCTCTTTCCTCATTCTCTTAGATGCTGGGAGTAAAGGATGGACCACCATCTCTGGCTGGAGAACATCCTCGTCACCACAAACTCTTCAGTGGGACGGTGGTGCTATGGTGGTGGGAGGAAATGAAGAGACACTCTGTTTTCCCACTCCAGAACTTTCTCAGAGAAGCATCATAGCCTAAACCACTCACTTGCTCACACTAAATCCATCTTCTTGAGTTCTGTCTCGTACCCTTTCTCTACATTTTATAGGTTCTGATTTCCATTGTGTATGATTGTTGAAAGAGCAATGCCCTAAATCTAACATTGACTTCTACAATGATCATCCCAGTCAGACCCTCCAAAGGTGACCACCTCCAGATTTTTTTTCCTTTTGTGGTGCTGTCTGTGTTGAGAAGATTCTAAGAGCATGTTTAGTGTATTCTATGTTCTCCGGCAAAATATTTGCAGCTGATTGGTACTTGAACATGCAGTAAAAATCAAGTTTTGAAAGCTCTTTGATAGAGATCCACATTGGTTTGTTTGTCTTTTTTTAAATGACATCATTAATATAAATATTCCTTTATGTGTTTTTCCTCTTTGTTGATCAGTGTATCTGTTGTTTTAAATTATTAACTGGACAGAATTCAGAGTCACTTGAGAGATGGGCCTCTTTTACACCTATGGAAGATTATCTTGATGTGTTAATTAGTGTGAGATGACCCATTTTAACTGTGGATGGGACCATTCCCCAGGCGTGTATCATGGAATATATAAAACGGAGAAACTGAGGAAGCTTGCACTCATTCATTGCTCTGATTTTGGACTATGGCTTATTGAAGTTTCCTTTCCAGTTGCTATGAAGAAATATTCTGATAAAGACAACTTACGAGAGAAAGGGCTTAGTTCATCACTGCAAGTTATAGTTAATCATTACAAGGACATTAAGGTGGCAGGAACTTGAAGTTAGTTGTCACAACCACAATCAAAAGCAGAGAAAGAGAGAGAGAGAGAGAGAGAGAGAGAGAGAGAGAGAGAGAGAGAGA